TAATTTGGCTAAAATTTGGGAAAAGCCGTTCCTAAGCAGCTTTGCAGCTCTAAGCAAGCCTGCAACCTTGAGGACCAAGTGCAGCTCTAAGCAAGCCTGCAAAGCTGCTTAGGAACGGCTTTTCCCAAATTTTAGCCAAATTAATTAACGAATCTCATTTCACTTATGCTCGTTTTAATCAGTAAGATCAGCCGCAAGCTGGTACAGAGCCGGATTTTCCATTTTGGCTCTTAAAAAAATTTATAATAACGGACTCGCAGCTAAGCAACCCGACAGAGGTCGGTAGTGTTACTCCTGTCGACCCTTAACTTCAATGGTGAAACTTTTATATGTATAGTATAGCATAATGTCCATTAACTGGGCTGCATTCGGAAACACTCACTGGTGTGCCACTAATAGATAATTGTTCAGAAAAGCTGGTGTGTAGGTACGTGCATTCGAGTGAGATCGTTTTCGGAAATGTAGAGAGAATTACACCGAGTGTCACAGGACCACTCGTGGAAAAAGCAAGAGGACTCGTTGTGAGATGGTTTGTTAACTACTGTCCGGAAACGTTGGTCACCCGAAAGCACACGGTACCCCTACTATTTCTCCACTGAAATCACCGAAGCACATTAACGAGTGATGATTTCGAACGCAGCCCTAATCAGGACTTTTGTTCTTAAAGTAGACTTTAGCTTTCTAAGGCTAAAATTTATTATTGACATTTATTTAAAAATGAACGACGACAAGCAGATATTTTTTTTCAAACAGATGTCCTTAATTACAAGGACAGACAGGTACTTCATTACTAGTAATTTTGGAAAAATGGAAAAATATTTTGGGGGTAGGAGGGCATGAAATATAGTTCCTATCCTAAATAGTTAAGAAGAAAGAAGAAAGCTAAGAAAGGCTACTGATTTCTATTCTATCCATATTATTTTACTGTTGTCGCATGTGAACGAAAGCTAGTGAATTGAATCAAAATGATTAAATAAGTGAATTTTATCATGTTTTGACTGATAATATTTATTTTTATTCTCGAATTATTAATGGTTTATTTTTTGTGTTTATTTTTATCAATGACTTGTATCACATTATTAAAATTACACTTTGCAATTGAGTCCATTTCTCGATTTCATTCATATTATGTTATGTGATTGTAGAGATATTTACCAAAGAGAGCACAAGGAGGTAATAAAGCAAAACGACAGTGACATTCACAAGGAACCCTTGAAGACGGACGGTTCATCCATTAACACCGGCTTGGAGCGTTCTTATTCAAGTCCAAATCTACTACAGGTACGAAGAACTCCGCGCTGCAATCTTACAATCAATCCGTTTTTTTTGTTTATCTATTTAAAATAGCAATCGCATAATTACATAATTCCATTAGTTGGGAGATCGTAAAACACCTCAGATAGATAGAACTTCTAAGCCACATATTTCGTCTCGCAATCAAAATGGATTGGGAATTGGGAATGAGAACATCAAAGTGTCTTCTCTTAATTGGGGAAATCGGGAGGAACGAATGACCCCTATTCACGGCACTGTTGTAAGTACTTATTCGGACAAGATTGTACGGGCGCTTTCCGGCAAAATTGCTAATATCGATCTTACATACGAATATTGTCACAGCTTTCGCTTTCATTACATCCGTTTTCGCGACATTGAGACGAACGTCCGTATTTTAAACGATCAAAAATGCTTGTGGTGTTGGGTTCTCAGTCTTCCATTTTATATAAGGCTTGGCGCAAGTCGCGTGTATGATATTGAACTGCAAGTGATATCGGCATGATAATAACAATGGAATTTGCAAATAGGAATACAACGTTGTTAACACAACATCAGTTTGATATCTTAGGCATAATTACATGGAATTTTACAGTATAATTTTATATTAGGTATTACGTTTGAAATTCGAGAATTAATTTTCTTTTATTTAAAATCTTCATGCAAGTATTAAAATATGAATTAGTACTGTTATTATAATTGAGATTTTATTTGAAAAGAATATTTTAAAATTTTTTTAAACGTTTTTTCAACAGTTCAAAAATAAGTAATGTAGATTATAAAATTTTAAATATATCACAGAGTAGTTTTTCAGGAAGATATTGCACATATACTTATACAATAAAGTAGGTATTATAATATGATAATTTTTATCCTTAAAGAGAACTTTAACCTTCTGACTAAAAACTATTTGAAAGATATTTTGTCATTATCTTTGTAACCCGCATTATTTTTGAAAAGTGTGTTTTGTCAATAGTAAAAATGAAACAGATAGTAAGCTTTATATAATTATATATAGTATTATACATTAACAATACTTATACATATTTTAAAGTTATGTCTATCCATTAAAATATTTCCTCTGATTTTTGATATTTTTAATATTTTCCCAAAGAGATTCTGTAATTTGTAAGAAACTCATTAAAACCGAAATAAGTTTCTCATTATAATTGTAAATATAGAGTAAACATTTTTTAAATTAACAGACAAATAGCATAAAAGTCATTAAGTCGGTTGATACGTATATAATGATTTCTGTCGCGAGGAATCTTCGTAGAACACGTGCAACATAATTATAATAAATGAATGTACGCTCACGTGTACACGTGCGGAGTGACTCAACACACGTGGGGTTTCTCAATCCAATCTACAGACAAACTTTCGACGATTAGTGCTACGACAAATACGCGCCAGTGTCCGAGCAACATTTGCCAGATCGGGGATATCACCTGTCAGAGGTGTTCCCTCCTAAAAGTATTCGCGATATCTTTTTTTACGCTATAAAGAGACATTTCTTACAATTAAAAGCTTATTACAATGAAATATTAATTGTTCAAGGAAATCCGTTGTGTATATATACGTGTGTATGTGTGTGTGTGTCCGTTAATATATTTATATTACATTAATATATCTGCTACGGCTTAAGATTCATTCACTCGTGAGCTTGCAATAAAAGGATATAATGTTTAATTGTAATTTGATGCACGATAATATAGTCAAACATGCATATGGGTACAATGCTTACTATCTCGTGATAAAATAATTTTTCGTTGGTGCGGTGAAAAATGATAGAGACAATGGTGTATCTTCAAAGAAGATTTATCTCGTTGCAATTGCTTAATTATTTTAAAAAGGTAATGAATAGTAGAAAAACTATTTTAAATTAATATTTAAGTTATTTATTTGACATGATAAAGAAATTAAATAAAGGTATTATTCTTTTTTTATTTATAATAACTGCTGAGAGTATATCTCTGGTTCCTATAAAAATTATTGTATCTAATTAAATATTTGTACTTATAACTATATATAATTATTTTTTATATGGAACTCTAACATAACTTTGAACATTTTAATGAATACTAAGCTCGTCCATGATTTTCTAATGAAATGTTTTAAATGCCATGCTTTAAGAAATAACTCATTAATGCCATTTATTAAAATATAACTTACTAATAAATATCATCTATTAAGAAATAATAAATGGCAAATTGGTCTTTACGTCAATATACGATATATAAATACGTAAGTGCGTCAGAGTAAGTGCGTTATAAGGTTTGATTGACCACCGCATGTTGATGTAAATAAATCGATATACCACTCGCTTAATTACGTTACATGGAAAACAAATCGCGCAGTTCTGCAACTGTAAATTCCACTCTTTGAGAAAGGATCAATTGTTCGCGTAGTTATTCTTTTATTGTAAAAATTCTATAAAATTGGATTTCTAAAATAATTCTAACAGTTGTCACCTTATACGAAAAGTTTGTTTTAAAGTTTTAAATATGGTACTTAAGCAGACATTTAAGATTAAAGTGGAGTACCGCGTATAAGAGACGAGCTAAGTAAAATATAAATGTTGAAATCTTTCAAAATTCTGTATCTGTACTCTCTTCTGTCATAACACGCGGTGGGTGTGTGCGTGTGTATGTCGTGTATATACGGCACAATCATACGCAATTGATAACATGATTTGTCAGCGTAAAAATAGCTTCCTTGTACTTGCAGCATCCGGGCATAACCGGCCTGAAGAATTTGGGCAATTCTTGTTACATGAACAGCATCATTCAGTGCCTGAGTAACACGACGAACTTAGCGAAATATTTTACTGATAACTCATATGTCGACGATCTCAACACGAATAATGACAATACGACACGAGGCCAAGTGGTGGAAGAAGTCGCTCAAGTAATTAAAGTGTTGTGGAGAGGCCAGTATAAAAGTATATCTCCTCTCGACCTAAAGGTACTTTAGTCGTTCATAAGCCTTACTCTTAAATCAATGCCAATGCAATTTGTACAATTGTCATGAACTATTATCATTGCAGGTGGCAGTTGGACAATACAAATTACAATTTGATAGTTATGATCAACAAGACTCTCACGAATTCCTCACGTTCCTTTTAGACTGGATGCATAATGATCTTAAGAAGGTAAAAGTTTGCGATGAGCATTCCAACGAAAATTTAATTAATATTAAAATGAATATTAAGGTACTAAAAATGTCTTTTGCTTGCAGGAGGCACAAATTCCAATCGAAATGACTAATGCGGAGAAAGAATGGGACAAAGCGATGAACTCTCAGAGATCTATAATATCGGATTTATTTTTCGGACAATTGAGATCCACTATTACATGTTCATCTTGCAAGCAAGCGAGTACTACATACGAGACATTTAATAGTTTAACAATGTCTTTATCTCAGTCCAATCGGTGTTCTTTAAATGTGAGTATTTTACAAAATACGATATTACATTTGTATATCATACTTGAATGGTATGATTTTTTTTCATTTTTCTCTCTTTTTTCTTATATGTGTAAGCATAATATAAATATAAATAAATAAGTTGAAACGATATGTAGCGTTTTATGGCAACTATGTGTCTCATATGAAATTGCTTTATTATTTTAGGACTGTATGGAGAAGTTTGTGACAGGACAGAAAGTGAGCGGATGGAAGTGTCCCAAGTGCCAGACACCACGCGACGCGACGAAGAAGTTTGATTTCGTCAAACTCGCACCCATCGTGGTGATTCACTTGAACCGCTTTGCCGACAGCGGTGGATGGTTGGAAAAGCGCAACACCGCCGTCGATTTTCCTCTCACGGGATTCAACTTGAAGCCGTATCTCGTCATGGAGAACACGAACGCAATCATGTCAAACAATATCCGTAATTACAATTACTCTCTTTACGCGATATCGAATCACTATGGAACAATGGACGGTGGTCACTACACGGCGTTCTGCAAAAACGCTACGCAAAATAAGTGCGTATAGTATTTATATGGTAGATCCGAAATTCAAGAATTTACATTTCCAAACAAATTTAAGAAAGAATAAGACTTGAACATTAATTTTTTTTTTAGTATTTTTTTTCTAATAATAATCTTTTATAGAATATGAATATTTTTCGATAGAAATCTATATTAGAAACATTGGAGACAAGTTTTATGACTTTGTTATAATGATAATGTCTGTGTATTTACAGATGGTACAAGTATGATGATCAAACTGTCACGGAGGTGTCGCCGAGCCAAGTGAAGTCTCAAAATACGAGTGCCTATTTGTTATTTTATACGTCATTTCCAAATACGATCATGTAGTATGAGGACACGGCCGCGGATGTGATCAAGATACAGTTATGACGAAAGTCTTCAGTGTGATATTAATTAAGGGAAGGAGGAATATGATTTTCACCGCTCTGTAGATATATTAAACGATTATATTTTGTATGATAAATCTCCTATGCGCGAGCAAAACGTATAGGGGCTATGACGATATTGAAAGCTTTATCGGTGCTGGCATTCATTAAGAATATGTATATACGTATAGCGATTTTTCTGTATTTCTACAGTATGTCGCTTTAAAGATAAAGCAAAATATAGTTTGTTCTCGAGAATATTTTACTGAAATATGTGTATAACTTCGTATAATTATATTAACATACCTAAATAGATTAGTCAAATTATATATTATATTCGTTTGACATTTTGCATTATTGCAGCCGAATTATCATTTTTGCTTTGTATCAAAACGAAGCCATAAGGCTATAGTTCCGGCTTATCGAGCAATTTAGATAACATTTTCGAAGAATTTATTCGAATTTGGAATCCATCTGTTAAAAATATGTTCTGTTCATTCATATTTTGCACAAATGGTTTCAACAGTCATAAATAGCGTTTAGCCATAGATAAGACGCATACGTCGCGTGCGGTTTAGATAGATTAGCAGCACACTAACTGCCTTCTTCGCTGCGCTGCCAGTATTGTCAAAACGTACGACCATTTTGTACGTGAAGCAAAACGTTTCTCGTTGCAACGTACGCTTCTTAAAGAAAAAAACAGTTAAATAGGATTCCGTTATGTACGAACTATTGTGTGCGTGTATATGTAAGCTTATTGGCTTCAAGCAGCCCAAAGAAATCACATTTTATAATTAGTCAAATATAATATTTCTATACCTCATATAGAGATCATCGTGTTTTAATGAAGGTATAGCATACAGTCTTTGCAAATACAAGCTACTTCCATACTTCGTGGCAATACGTTTATGTATATAACTATAATATTTTTTTGTAATTTATGTATATAATTATATTGGTATAATTGTGCTAATATATTTATGTATATAAATATATTCCCGCAAATAGCCTAATATAACGATCCTCGAATATTTTATATGGATTTGCCGTACATATTGACATAGAGCATGAAAGCAACTTGCACTCGCAAAAGCTAGAATTAGAAAAATTCTGCGAGCTTGCTAGTTTTGTCGCGCAACTCATGTTACTGATTTGTTATCGCCATATACGATTATATTATTATTATAATTATTTATGAGGTGCGTAATATACATCTAAAATGTCAAGAAACAACGTCAATAACATCATTACAATTTTGTGCAAGGTATTTATTTCTTTAAATTTATTCCTAATTCTTTTACAGAAAACGTACGCAATGTTCTCTTTGTCTCTCTCTCTGTCTCTCTCTCTGTGTCTCTCTCTCTCTCTCTCTCTCTCTCTCTCTCTCTCTCTCTCTCTCTCCCTCCCTTCCTCCATACTTTGATCATGAGATATGCTGTGCTAATATTTTTGAAAGGATTCGAAAAATTCGAAAAGTTCACACACAGTGTCGCGTTTAAGGACGCTAATACAATTAAAACATCTAAACGTGAAATTTCATGAGCAGTGA